TATGTTTTATTTTTTTTCAAATTTATAAAAAATTCAAAAAAAAATTTAAATTAATTAACCAAATAAAATATATATGTCAAACTATACTATATGAACATCCCTATGGTAAAAAATATTAAAAATAATTTGGCAAAAAATATCTGAACACCAAAAATTTGAATGAACACTATAATGCAAATGAATTAGGTAACTAGTTCTTTTTTACGAAAAAAAAAATAGTTTCCCTTTTATCGACAATGCAATATATATGAACGAACATACATACAAACATATTGCTTATCCAGCTGAAAATTGAGAACAACCCTAATAAAAAAAATTTTCTCATTAAGCATATTTTAAATGTTTTTAGTTAATGTTAGGTTCGACTTAGATAGAAATTATTATCTTTAAAGAATATACCGAAAATAATTAGAGTACCGCTATAATGATAAATATCAGAGAAAAGATAAAGTATGAGCGAGCAAATTGGATTAGAGCCTAATAACGGTAACTGTTCTAGTAAAACATATACCATACATAAACAAGAGCAGCAAAGAATGAGAAAGAGTGGGAGATGAAAAATTTAAATAAAACAGAAATTTGGAATTATAGGTAAATCTGCAGTTTGTTTGAACTGCTCAAATGTGGCTGTACCCACAGAAGCCGAACGGTTGATCCAGAACTGAAACGCTGTACCTAACGGTGCTGTGCTTAGGTCAAGAAGTAACCGCAATCTCAGCTCAACTATTCTTGCCGAAGCAGTCTAACGGTACCTGTTTTAGTAAAACATGTAAAAAAAGAGCGGAAAAGAATTATAGAGAGAGAGAGAGGGAAACGTAAAAGCTAAATTAACCATAAATTGGGAATGATAAATCTACCAAACTAGTCGAACTGCATAAATGCGACTGTACCCCAATAAAAGTCGATGTGATATTTCGGAACTGAAAAACTATAAAAAAAGGGTTACATGGTTAAGTCCAGAAGTAAGAGCAATCTCATTTAAACTGTCGTTACAAGGTAAGATTTTTATCTATTTTTCTTTATAAAAAGATAAATAGTTCAAAAAAATTTTTCCATGATCGTTGTTCATGTATTATCTTTCCTAAAAGCTTTACACCCTCAAATTATTTCTTTCAATATAGCATGACTTTCGAAATTATGCCAAAGGCAGTGTGTAGTTTAATAACGAGAGATGACATCTTGGAAGATCTTTTGAGATGACTCATCGTAAGGCAACATAAAATCTGTGTCACTGCAATTAGCTGTCGACCGTACTTAATGCTGGATCAAACGATCGAAAGGTGTAGTAAAATTGCTGGTTATTGATCTGATTGAAATACCTAAGGGCCCGCAACAGTATTTGATGTAGCTGTGGCGCTGTAGGACTCGCTTGGCAAACTTTAGAAAAGCTTGAAAGCAACCGCACATACTTACAATTACCAACAAGTTATTGGCCTTCTAGCGGACATTTCATGTGCCTTTTCTGATATAAGCCCAAGTCTTTTTAGGTTACGTAACACAAAATAGAAGTAAATGTCGAAATACGGAAACAATTAAGTTTTCCGAAGCCAGTAATGTTGCGCCTAAGAGAAAAAAATAACTCCAAGATAAGACACAATAAATCAGCAGTTGTCGCTGCAAAACAATACCAATCGCGAAAATTAACAATAAAAAGCTAACACGCATCCGCCGCAAAGTACCGAGAACAAAGCTAGCTTGAGTTCGTTGCAAACCATGACAGCAGAAAATGTTAATGCCGAAAGCATATTTTTACTCTTTTTGGGCAAAATACACATCTCCAACCACTCCCGCGCATAAATCTGTTGGGCTCAGCAGGTGTCAGGATGCGTGTCAAGCGGCCATGAAATAAGCACAGAGCGACAGCTGCAGGTGGTAAAGCTGCTGCCGGCACTGATTACAACGACAATTATTAAGCTGTATGCGCAGTGTCGCTCGCTTTTGCTGTTGCTGTTGTTGGCGACTGGATAATGACGGTGTTGGCATCAGTAAAATGTGTGCAAAACATGCACAGCTGCCAAGTAGCATGTGTCTGTGTGTGTATGGCGAGCGCACGGAAAGGATATCAAGCAAATGTACGCGCATGTCTTCGCATGTGTGTGAGTGTGTATCTGTGCGCATTGTGCGTGATTTTTTCGCCACGTTTGCGAAAATTAATGAGAAAATGCGAGCAAATAACAAAAGTCATGCGGTGGCGGCGCTTCCTGCTCTCCTCGCGCACAAGCCTGAGCAGATGTAAGCACACCAGCGCACACATAAAAAAGACGATGCACACATACATATGAAATGTGCAAATAAGCAAACAATATTGTGCTTATAAATAATATATAGATCTACATATAAATGTATAATGTGTTCCGCTGTGCGCTTGCTGGCCTTCATTTGTGAATTCTTGGTACGCAGCTGCCGCGGCGGCCGCAACAATTGCCAGCTCGTTCAAAAAGTGGCAATAACATAAATGGGCGCGCGCTGAAAAAAGGCGAAAACTGCACAATAAATGCATAAAAAATTAAAAGTGAAAACGGAGATAAAAAAACAAACCGACGCCACGTTGACAATGGCAGGACGCGGCAAGGCGCAAGCGCACGCAAATTGTACGGTTTCGCTGGCTTTGGTGTGTGTGTGTGCGCGTTATAATAATTTCAAAATGAAATGATTGTGCGCTGCGGCTGCAAAACAAAATACAATAAAATGAAAAAAAATATATATAAATAAAATGAAAGAGTAAAGAAAAAAGAAAAGAATATAGCGCGTAAGTAAAACGCAGAAAATGAAGTGTGGCAGCAAATAAAATGGCAACAAGCGCAATTATTGTAATGTGGCGAGTGCGAATTGCTCGCAAATGCGCGGCGGCTTATTTAAATGCGTGCATGCGAGCCCAGCTGTATGTACATATAATATATTGTACACCCACACATTGATGAGAATTGCGTGCATATTTAAATAAATTGTAATGACTACCGTTGCTGCTACATGCGCCAGTAACAACGCCGCTTTTTCCATTGATATCCACAATGCGGTGTGTTATTTTTTTTTTTTTGTTTTTTAAAGGGATTGTTTGTCGTTTATGAGTCTGTTTATGAGTTGTGTGGTCAAACCGAAAGCGCTTTATACACTTGTAATACAACATTTTTTTTTACTTAAGCTCAATAAATGAGCGTACAGTTACAATAAAAAATGTGAAATATAGCAAAGCATTCTTTTTTTATATTTTTTTACTATTAACCTTGAGTTTGAAAATAAAAAGTATTATCTGCTGGATATAAAGCTACGCAGTCGTAAATTCATGCAGATGTGTGTACAATTTACTGCTTAGCTTTTAATCTGTCGTACATGCCGACAGGATATTTGCATTCGCTTTTAAAAATTTTTCAAAAATATTATAAGGCATTGCAAAGGAGTGGCACGAGGACGAATAATTGTTAGTATTGAACATAAATTTGAAAAAAAATATACATCTATATTTTCTTTATGCGGAAACACTGTTATTGAATTTGACTCAAATAAAATTGTATATGAGAATTTGCTTTTTTTTGTTTTTAGCAGTCAATAAAAGTCCTTTCTCGCAAAATGTAGAAAAGGTGTGTATAATTATTCAATCACTAGCAAATTAGTTTAAAGTAGCGACAGTAGTTTGCTTTACAAACTAAACATATAAGACGCGTGACCACACATTTGAACAAAGCCCAAATCATGATACAAGGTTCGTAGCAACAATTAACTGGAGCAACAGCTTTCATACTTCTGAAATTGCTTATTTAAGATTCCACTTATAACTTTATCCCTTAATTGACAGAGTGCAGCTTGATTTTTTCAACAAATCAAACATGATTTTGATGAGTTCAAAAATTTTGGACCAAATATAAATTTTTTTGTAATCACGTTATTGAGAATTTTTTAAGGTTGCAAATTTTTTGATTCTAAAATTTTGGACTAAAATTTTTTTTTTTATTAATTCGATGTGCAGGATTAAAATTATTTGATTTTAGTTTTAAATATCGGGTTTGGGATTTCAAAATAAAAAGAAAACTTTAATTTAAAAGTTAATTCAATTATATACCGAAAAAACCAAAATTCGCCTAAGACACCCAAGTTCATATGATGAACTTTTTTGTATTAAGCACCAAATGTAAAAGCAAACTTTAAGATCTAAAAATATAAAACTTCAATGCTTTTCAATGAATCAGAATTTGAGCATGAAAACAAAAACCCAAAAAAAAAATATTTTTTCTTTGTTTACCGCTGTTAATTGTAATGTTACCACTTTAGTATCAAAGTAAAATTTCATTCTAAACAGAACAGGTACCCATAAAATCGAATATTTCTTGAACTTTATATTCCAAAAAATTTTCATTGAACTCATTTGAAATTTTTCAACAGAAAAGCGGAATTTTAGACTAGTGCAAAAGCCTTTGAAAATTATAAAAAAAAGAATTAAATTCATAGTAGGTTGACAGCCATCGGAAACTAAAGATAAAATGTGAAAAAAAAAATTTACCAATCTGAGCTCGGGAAAAGGAAATAAAATGGCGCCGTTGAATTTTTAGGGGTTAAAAACGATTAACTCGATTTTCAGCAAAACTTCCGAGTTCCATAGAAAAAAGTTATATGGTAATATTGTAGGTAATGAATAGGTCTATAAAACTTGTATACAAACTTTTTACACATAACCTCAAAATTTATGTGAAAAATTCAAATAACTAATTTTTATATATTTATCTTGTACAAAATATTTTTTGTTACACGAAATTTGGAGTAAACTTATATTCTTTTATGTCGCTCAAACACTGTATTTTTATTAATTTAAAATATTTATTTTTTTTACTTATATTGACCTTACATCGAAAAAGCATCTAATTTTCTATCAAAAATTCTCAAGTCAAAATATCAAATTTTTTGAAAAATTTGGTAAGCTTTCTGTTTTTTGAGATATCTACTTTCTGATGGTATACTCGTATATTCCGAACTTTTATAAAACTATAAAATTACTTTCTCAATCTTACCAAATACTGCTATTGTAGTGTCCAGATCAGTTATAATGCAATCAAATAGAAATATATAATACAATTTACTGCTTGTTATAAACTCTTTCAGGATGCAGAGATCAGTTTGTTCTTGGATAATTTGCTCTGAAAATAAACAAAAAAAATGTTTAAATATTTAAAAAAAAACATTTTTTTTTAATATTTGGGAATATCACAAAAGGGACTGAATATGTTATCAGTTTAGAATGGCATTACGATGAAAGATGTACTCAACAAATTTTGTTAATACACATTGTCTTCTTATTCTAAACAAAGTAGTATTCTTGTTTACAGTCATAAAGTTGAAAATTCGCCGAATTTCAAGGGCAGCTGCATTAGTAGGGTATAATATATTTACATACAATATGTTTGTATACTACATACATATATACGTAAAATTCGCTAACAGCGAAGACTTTTAAGAATGAGGGCTATAGGTATAAACAAAACTAAAGACGCTTAAATGGCATACGCAGAGTCCCAGAGTTGCTGTACCTCTTAGGTAACTCCCGAACTCGAAGCAGTGCGAGCAGATGTTTAAGATATTTATTTATGTAGATATATGTACGAAGGGGGTATCAACAGCACATAAGCAGCTACACACATGTGAGTATACTTATATTTATCAGTTTCCCACTCAAGTCCTCCAAAGGCCAAAAAATTACCCAAATTATATGAAGGAGGGTGTATACCAAGTAATTACAGTTCTTACTACGGACGCTCGATATTTCTGGTAATTTTCATGTTTTTAAACTTCACATGTGTTTGTTTATGCTTTTTGTGGTTGTTGTTGTCATTTGCTATCTTCTCTCCTGCTGCTTTGAGCAGCTGTCGTTTGACACTCGAATTTCATGGCGCGGAACTCAAGTGGAAAAGTTGCGACCGACGTCAGCGAACAAGCGACAAACTCAAAATTATAAGCAAACAAGCAGAAAAGCAACAACACTAAACCGGAGAACTCTACGAAGTTGTCTGTCGAAAAGTGTCCTGTTGCAACAAATTTCATACACTAATTGTTATATTGGTGTACATAGCGAGTGTTACAGTTGTTGTTGTTGTTGTTGCCATGCCACGCTTGTTGATCGCCTTTGTGGTGTTTTCTTTGATTCTCGATCGTTGTTTGTCGGCGGTTAGCAGTCGATTGCTGGTGGTTGTTTATTTGTTTATTTTTGGTGAAGAGCCAGTGACATTGGCGGGGGTGTGAAGGCACACACTTACACATACACACAACATATATACCGATATGTATACTTACAAGTGTATATTTGATGGTGGAAACGTGTGAAAGTATACATATGGACGCAAGAGCATTGTGTTTACTGCATCAAAGTCAAACACACATACACACTCACACTATCATACACACTTACACTTAGAGATATATGTTCATACGTGTGTTTGTATTTATTTTACTGTTATGTTTATTTTCATTGTTATAGCCATGCAATTATGCACACACAATAATGAGTACAACTACGAAGCATAAAACAATAATCCAGTCCAACAACAACAACAGAAGCAAATTTAAAAGATTCTCAGCAAAAACGTTTACTTTACTGTATCACGCATGCGGTCGCATAAATTATTCAGCTTGTGAGCAGGATATGCACGCGACCAAAAGAACACGCGTGCAACTTATACGCTGATAAATTCAAGGTCTCAGTGAGAGTGAGCAGACGTAGAAACTTTTCTTTGTGAATTTTCTTGCATGAAAGTGACGAAAGACCAGCTTTGGGCCACATGTGACTCAGGATGATATCATGCGGCAGAAGTTGCCAAATTTTTATTACATACATAGTAGAAACAAATCGATATTAGGACCATACAGGATTCTAGTGAATCTCAGTTCAGGCTTATTTGTATTTACCGAAAGAAAAAGGCGGCAGCGAAACTAAAATATTGTTCATAGTTGCAATCCTTTTAGCCAAAAAGGGTATAGAAAGATTTTTTATCTTGATTTTGATCATTCAGTTTGTATGACAGCTATATGATAGAGTGGGCCGATATCGTTGGTTCCGACTTCTTTCGTATAAAGTACGTGCGCAAAAGTGCAAAGCGATATCTTTAAAGCTGTGCGCTTAGCTAGCATATATACAGACGGACAGACAACAGGACGTTGCTAAATCGACTCAGCCCGTCAAGCTGATAATTTATATGTATATGTAAATACTTTATAGGACCACCGATGTTACCTTCTGATTGTTAAAAAACATTGTGGCAAGCTTAATTTACCCCTCTGTTCAGGGATATATTAAAAAATCACAGTTAAAGAGGTCCTTAATTCCATTAAGACCAGAGCCTGTTTGTAAACTCTCAAATGACATTTTTCTTTTAGAAGTCGTCAAACACTCTGCATTTTCTGTATAATAAGATGACTCCAAGTCTCAGCAACGATTGCTAAAACAATCTTGAGGATCCCTGCGATAATTCCACAATCAAGCCCTTTTAGTAAACATTACCAAGAAATAAAAAAAGTTATACATTTTCTGTTCGTTTGCCCGAAAATAAATGTTCCAAAATTTCAGCCTGCACAGTTTCGTCTATTAAAATGCCATCCTATTCTCTTTAAATGCTAACGAAAATTATATCCTGAACAGGGTATATTAAGTTTGCCAGGAAGTTTATAACACTTTGAAGGAAACGTCTGTGACCCTATAATATATATATCTTTCGAGCTAAGTACATTTAGCCATGTCAATCTGAAAATTTTGTATTTGTGATGGTATTATAGCTTCGATGCAGCCGAAATTAATGTTTTTTCTTATTTTTATATCATTATATAATTATTTATATTATATAAGAATCCATCCTATGTCAAGGGAAGTAAACAGATAAATATGTGAGGGTCGCGAAAAACTTACCGAGTTTGAAATGAAAAGCTTTACAAGTGAAGGAAGAAAAGCTTAAGCCCGATTGAACCACATATGTGAAGAAACGTTTTTGTGCTGTAAATTCGCTTAGCGTTCCACAAGTTCAACTTAACTCCAAGAAGTATATTTACCCGTTCCTAATGACACCATTTGCATGGTTTAGTGTCGCCTAAGCGCATGTGAATTAACAAAAAGTCGGCATATGTATATATTAATGACTATAATACATATGGCATGTATATATGTATAGATAGATACGTGTGCCCACACATAGGTGTGCTCGCTGGAGTTTAATGGCGTACATTTAGCGTTACGGGCTTAAGTCACAGCTGTTTGTGGCGCTAAGTGCCAAAACGTTACTCGTTTTTGTTCGGTTAACCAGCGGTGCTCGAAAGCATTTATTTAAAGGAATGGCTTTACAAATGCCAACCTAGACATTTTGGAAATGTGAAAATAATTTACTTTTGACTACTAGTGCACAATAATATATAAATGCTTGTATATAAACGATAGGCCCCTAAAATAGAACAAACGAAGTTAGGGTTAGTCTCCGTAGAGATAAATTGTATGCGAAAGCTTTTAAAGGCATTTATGTATAATCCATAATTAAACACAAGTGTTTAAGATAAATTCTTTGGAGGGTATTCTAGAAGTCAATAATAACACACCGCTTCCATGTTAGACATATTAAACTAATGGAGTAAGTGCTGAACTATGCTTTTAGCAAATACAGAGGTTTTTTTTTATTCAATTGTTTAAGTGGCGAGTGAAAAGGGATCATATTGTTTTTTAGGAGTTTTTGTTATTAATCAGATTATGGAGGTCAGACTAGTCAAAAGAATGATAGAAACAGGATTGCGGCATTGTGATATCTTTATAATTCTTGAACTAGTCCGATATTGGCATATGTTTTATAAATATATTTCATTAACCGGTTGAGAAGTCAAAATTCTCGCTGTTAGTCGAACGAAATGAAATGATAAATTCTAGAGACTTTTCTGTAACAGAATTTAATTTTTGCTGGGAACGCCTCTAATACAATTTTCAGAAGTACATATCTATGTAATTTAGAAAATTTCAAATAATTTACGTACCAACGTGTGGGTAAAATTTAGTAATTTTAAATATTCAACGAAAATAGTGATGAGATTATGATTTACAAGAGAGTATGTACTTATGTAGGTACTCATTAAGCTGGTATAACCTCCTGCTACTCTGTCTCTATTCAAATATGCTAGTCTTTACCGTCGCATATATTGATTTATTTGTTCGATTCGGCACACTTTGAAGTCTGCTAAATCAAAGATTTTTAATTTTAATGAGGACTGCTTTCGGTTGCTGCTGTGAATAAAAATTGCTTTACCTTTCCAAATTCCAAATTTCCGAAACGGCAGTACAGATCGACTTGAATTGAATTCAACTAGCCTTCTAAGATACATAAATATGTAAGTATGTATGTCAGGTAAACATCGAAAAAATAGTATTTTTGATAATAGTTTCAATTTTTAAGCCATTTAAAAGGGCAAATTTTTTGCAAAAAAATTGAATTACTTGTTGAGAGCTCAAAAAGTAAAATTTTGACTATTCCATATAACGTTCCCTGATACCAAATATACAATTTCAAGAAAAACGCGTTTAAAGTATCAGTACAGACCGAACCAGTTTGGATGCCATTTCAGCAAAATACCTACAAATATCTCCGAAAATAATTTGAATTTTGAAAAATTAATCCTGTAGACACATTTTTGAATAGTTAAATTTTAAAAATATAAAAAATCGTAAATGAACATTTTCAAAACAAATCATCAATTAGTCATTAAATTTTGTAAATGTAAAATATTTTCAAATAACACATTATTTCTGCCTTGCAAGTGGATACAACCCCTTAATGCTTCAAATCTAAATTTTTATTTTTAGTTTGGCAATAAAAATGTTATGCGATACAATAGCAGCAGCACAGTAAAATACATGGCCTAAAGGGGTGTGCCGCGTGAAATTGAAATGTTAACATATACTCGCCGCCGCCGCCAGTGGCAACAAATAAACCCATATGCTACAAAACAATTACTTGCATTAACCCCTAAACTCCCTAATATTGATTCACGTAATTTTTTTTATCACTCACTTCATTTCAGCCCAAAGTACACGCAGCACAAAGGAGTTAATCATTTGTTTACCACACACAACAACAACAATAAAAGTGTACAAAAAATTGAAATAAAAACAACCCACTCA